CATAGCATTTCCCCTTTTTCTTTTCAAAACAAGAACCCTGAATCTTTTTGGTTTAGCTTTTTCCCTAGAAATTATTCATAACAACTTACAACCAACATTCCTGAACAAAGATAAACACCCATAATCCATTTTTTGGGAATATGGGCATAGTTTTCTTGGCTACTTCCTGTTGATTAGAGGTACTGATAATTTATGGACCAAAGAAATTTTAGGATTATTGTCAAATCCTGACTGGAGTATTCTATGAGGCTGGATCATCTCAGCCAGCAATATTGAAATGTTTCTGGCTGTAGCACTCAGAGGAAACTGCAAGAGAGGTGTTCTGAAATGTTGGATCATCTGGGCCATTTGCTCCTATCAGATTTTTTTCAGAGGATCTTCCTTGATTAAACCTTATTTTTCTTAACCAATAATGAATCCACAGCCTCTCATTTCCTGTGGAAACAAAAGCAAAACCTCTTTTCCAAAGTTACATACCTTTTGACTTAAATATTGAAGTCAAAGTATTTTCAAAATACATAAATTGGATTAATCCAGCAGTATTTATAATAAAATGTCTTTCAGCAGATGTTGCTCCTTCTTCAGCAGTCAAAAATTCATTATGCATAGACTGGACCAAAAAAGATAAAACTTCCTCTCCCAGGACTTGACAATTGACCTATATTTTTTCTTTTCATGATTCCCTAAAGATATCATCACCCCCTTCTCCAGACAGCAGAAAGTAAATTTAAGAATATGATGCCCACATTTCCAGGAGATGGGGTGGGTAGATTTTGGTCATTCAATTGATTATGAATATTTGTCATTGTTTAGAGGGGTTGGTTACAAGCTGTTATTGGTAATGGTCAGCAAAAAAACGAAAAAAAAATGAAATTAGATTCAAGGTTGTTTTGACAAAAAAGGAGATATAAATATTATAGAATAAAAGGATAGATTATTGAATCTACTCTGGAAAGAAAAACAGAGGATATAGATATAACAAGATAGAAAGGTATATTATTGAATCTACTTTTAGAAAGCAACTACTAGGAACTGGAGAGATGGCTGAGTGGTTAAGAGGACTGGCTACTCTTCCAGAGGACCCAGGTTCAATTCCCAGCACCCTCATGGCAGCTCACAACTGTCTGTAACTACAGTTCCAGGAGACCCAAACCCTTCCACAGGCAAAACAAAATAACAATATAAATTAAATAAGAATAAATAAATAATTAAAAAAAGAAAGCAACTACTATTTTCTAGTTTTGTTTTTGTTTTCTGAGACAGAGTTTCTCTGTGTAACAGCCCTAGCTGTACTGGAACTAGCTCTGTAGACCAAGATGGCCTCGAACTCACAGAGATCTGCCTGCCTCTGCCTCCAAGTGCTAGCTACCACCCAGTAAAATTACTAGCTTTAAATGTTTTACATTTGGTAGAATTTTGTGTATTGTATACAGATTTTATATGTTGATACTATTTAAGACTAATTTTGTTAGACCATACTGTACATACATTTCTACTATACAGCTCACTTAACAATATAAGGCAAATTTCTAGCCCTTTAAAGTTATTATTACCAGCTGTTTAGGATAATAAGGAAATACAGGTTAGTAATTTGTCACCTATTATAATCAAACTTGTAGTTACATTAGGTATGTTCTCAAGGTCAAACAAAGATATGTTTTAGATAGACAGGTCATCTTCAAATGTTTTAGAGATCTACAGAATATGACATTTAAGATGTTTAAATAACATAGACTCTTTTTTATGACAATGAGACATGTCTGCTCCTGGCAGCACCAATCTGCTTCAGAGAAGATGACAGGCATTGAAGAAACACCACATGGAGTTTACTTTGTTTGTGGCAAAATAAACCACTGGGTAAGAAAATGTCCTTGCCTTGACTGCTGACAGTTTGCTCTCCTAATTGGACAAGCAGAACACAAAAGAAAGTGATTGACAAGCATTGTCAAGACAAGGATTGGCAACCTTTCAGAATATTCTGTTCCACAGAATAGTATGTTGAATATGCTAGGCCTGTGGACTGAAGATGGATGCCCCAACATTGCAGAGAAACTTTGGGTGACTGTCCAGGCAGCCAACTGTTTCTGTCATTTCTCATATTTTTTGGAAGTTGCTTGCTCACATTTCTTCCTTACTCAATTAATATTATTTCCTTCTGGGGTCTTTGAGGGAATTGAAGACTAGATAGTTATAGTTTTCCTTGTTTACGTGATGCAGAAAGCAAGTTATGATAGAGAGTAACTTAGGTACAAAACTTTGGAATCACCAAGATAGGATAGATAATGAAATATTTTCTCTGAATTTGTCAAATGCAAATAGACTAGATATTGTTGATGTATTTATTGCCTGTATATATTGTATATAGTCATTGTATTTATTGTATATAGTTTTTCTTATATTAGTCTTAGTCTTCTTTTTTATTTTCGATATAAGGGGAAATGTAGTGATATTTCATTTTTATTTTAATAAATAAAGCTTTTCTGAAGATCAGAGAGTAAAACACCCACCTTTGTGAGCCTTACAGACCAGGCAGTGGTGACACACACCTTTAATCCCAGTAGCCACACTAATTTGCCATAGAAATCGGGTAGGCTATAATAGTGCAAGCCCTTAATCCTAGCACTAGAGAGGAATAGAAGACAGGAGTAGACAGTTCTCAGACACAGTCTCATTCTGAGATTCCTAGAGGCAGGATCGCCATTTCAGACTGAGGTCGAGGTACGAGCCAGTCCTGGCTGTTTGGCTTTTCTGACCTTCAGGTTGAACCCCAGTATCTGTCTCTGGGTTTTTATTACTCATGCTACATTTGGCTTTTATTAATCATGCTACATTTTATTAATCTTGCTATAGATGGCCCCAGTAACCTGTAAGTTATGTATTTTCCTATTTTTGTCTCCCATTAACTTGTAGGGTGTATTGTTCTTGTTCCTGTTTTGTTCTCACAAATGGTGCTAGGTATAGAGAAGTGGCTCCTGAACCCTAAATTCAAACATACTTTTATTCACTTCAATTTTTATTTTATTTTTATTTATGTTTTTGCATCAGTCTTGTCTATGGGTACCAATGGAGGCCAGAAGGCGGCACTGGATCTCCTGGGGTTTTGTTTCAATTGGTTGTGAACTGCCTGGTGTGAGATCTAGGAACTGAAATTATTTTTTTCTAGAACTAGTTCCTCTATCATTTTGTTTTTGTTGTTTTGAGACAGGGTTTCTCTGTGTTTCTGTGTAGCTCTGGCTGTCTTGGAACTCACTCTGTAGACCAGCTTGGCCTTGAACTTAGGAATCTACCTGACTCTGCCTCTCAAGTGCTGGTATTAAAGGCTTGTAGCATCATTGCCCAGTTTATCGGTTTATTTTTAAAGCATGGTTTTTATCAGTGGCTCTCAACATGACCTACATATAAATTGTGACCTCCACAGCAGTACCTGCCTTTTCCATACTTTATAGAATTGAGTGTTCTCTTTCATCTTTTTTTTCTTGTTTTTTTTTTTCTGTAGCTTTGAAGACTGTCCTAGAACTTGCTCTGTAGACTAGTTTGTAACATGAGGGCCGGCTGGCTTGTTGGGGTTTCTGTCCCGCCCGGTACCCCACAGTCGAAACTCCCAAGGAAAATCACACACAGGACTCCATAAGGTTATAAACTGATTGGCCCATTAGGTCAGGCTACTTATTAGCTCTTATAACTTATGTTACCCCATTATCCTTGTCTACGTTAGCACATGGCTCAGTACCTTTTCCAGCGGGGCAGCTTACATCTTTCCTCTCCGGTGGTCTGGGCAGAACTGCGGAGGGAGCTTCCTGCTTTCCAGAATACTCCCAGTCTCTTTGCTCCACCTCTACTTCCTATCTGGCTTTCCTGCCTATACTGCCTGCCTGGCCAATCAGCGTTTTATTAAAATATGATTGACAGAATACAGACAATTCTCCTACACCATAGGTTGGCCTCGAACTCACAGAAATCCACCTGCCTCTGCCTCCTGAGTACTGGGATTAAAGTACCCACCCGGCAAGTGTTCTCTTTCATCCTTGTTTTCTCCTCTGATTGACTCTTCAGGAAGTGAGTATATTTAGGAGTCAGAGGACACCATTTCTGCTGCCATTCTTTTTCCTTTGAGTAGTCTAGAATGTAGTAAAAGAACTCCAAGTCTATTCAGATTTCTTCATCTTTTTTTCCCTTTTTTCATTCCCAGGGTCTCATGTAGTTCAGACTGTCCTCCCTTTTATTTCTTTCATTCAAGGCTGAACTTGAACTTCTGATCCTCCTGCCTCCATCTCCTAAGTGCTGGGATTATAGGCATATGCTATGAACTCCAGTAGGGCTGTTTTACAGTGTAGCTGAACATGGTAGCCCATGCTTGCCCAGGAAGCCAACAAAACAAACTGATGATCGTAGATGGATTTTTGTTTTTGTAGACAGGGTTTCTCTGTTTGACAGCCCTAGCTGTCCTAGAACTAGCTCTGTAGAACAGCTGGCCTTGAGTTCACAGAGATCTGCCTGCCTCTGTCTCCTGAGTGCTGGGATTAGAGGCGTGCACCACCACTGTCGGGCTGTAGATGGTTTTCATTAAAGGGATAAAGTGGTTCTGGGTCAAAGGTTTAAACTTCCCTTTCCCATGGAATAAATACCAGTAATCAGGATCCTCATATGTATTCAATGGAAGAAAGAGTCCCCCAAAGGATTCTCAAGCAACAGCCTCACAGATAAGGACCAAAACCCCAAGCTCCCAGTAGTTACCGTTGAAATCTGAGAAACTGTCTTCAACCCAGGTCTCTGACAGATTCCTCACCCACTTCAAACTGAGGTTGGTCCAGTGAGTTCTTTCAGGCGCTACATCTCTCTTTGGTCAAAGGCTGTTTTCCAAATCCTCCCTTTCTTTAAGCCATACCCAATTAGTTCCTGCTTGTCCTGGTCCTTGGCCACATGTAGAGGGAGTCAGCTTTGTGACTTCACAAAAATCTCTTGTGACAAATCTGAACCTAGAGAATCAGAAGCTGGGCAGAAGGGACTCCCCTCAGGAACATCATGTGACTTTTCATAGCACTACACCCCCACCTACTAGGGAATGAAGATGAGCTGTCCCTACGGTAAGAGCCCTGGATACCCTCTGAACCTAGCAATGTCTCTCCTCAATGGTTTTGCCTTCCAGACCCAATTCAGTACTCCAGGCTATATTTGGCAATATCTCAGGGATCTAGGTTCATAATCCAGACTTGTGGAGAGACAGGAGATGATTCTTCTGGGTGATGAAGGTGGTGTCCAAATGGGGCAGAGTAGGTAAGATGGGATTCTTCTCATCAGATGTTGGTATTCTTCTGAAATGAAAGAACTTCTGAAATGAAAGTGTGACTCTTCTCTAAGCTCTGCCTAACCAGTTCCCAGAGTATTTCCCAATGAGTCAGACCAAGGAGTCTCTGCATTCTGTAGAAATCTTATAGCTATAAACTAATAGGCTTTCTGCTCCCCCCAACAAATAATAAGTTTCTCGGTCAACACAGTAAGCCAGATCAATTTGAATTGAAAAAGTATAATTACAGTATATTTGAACAGAGCAAATCCTGGGCAGCTTCTCTGTTCCCAGAGACAGAGAGCAAGGAAGTCACACCCTTGAACTAAAGCAGGGAGACTTTATAGGTCATAGGCAAGGGTGATGACTTATCCTTCACAAGCTGGGTTTGTGCCCAAGTATGGTTAAAATCTAATCAATTGGGTGATTAGGCAGGGATTTGGGTTGCTGGTGGCATCAGGGGAGGATGCTGAAATTGTCTCCAAATATGCAGAACTGGGCTTTTTGGCACCTTCCCTTTGTTCAGAGACTCTCTAAACAGGCGGGTTTTGGAGAGAGAGGGAGTGGGTGGGAATGGAGCTTTACGGATCTTGCAGTAGCGAGTTAGAGATTCCACCAGAACATAAATATATTTGTCAATAATCCAAAATCTTCTGGGATCTTGAAGGCAAGACTAGTGTTGCCTGTTTGATGTCAATTCCACTTCTAGTTCCTCTTAAAGAAACCTGAGTCTGAAGAAGTTGGGAACCCCGGGCAATGGTGGTGCATGCCTTTAATCCCAACACTTGGGAGGCAGAGGCAGGGGGAATCTCTGAGTGCAAGGCCAGCCTGGACTACAGAGCAAATTCCAGGACAGCCAGGGCTGCACAGAGAAACCTTGTCTCAAGAAACTAAACAAAGCAAAACAAAATAAACCAAAAACTGAAACCTATACTCACTCTCCCAAACCTGCACTTGTAGGATGCCTCTGGGATGGGCAAAACTCTTGCAGTCAGAAGTGATGGGAGGAGGGCCTGGAGGACATATGTCCCCCTTCATGCTTAAGTTCCTGTCTTGTGTTGGGCAACCACACTGTGAAGAATGGGGCATGTTATATTATCTCTGACCACCTTATTTGACCTCTTTTCTGATTACATCATCACTGTTCTGCCAGAAAATCCCAGGAAGGAGGTAAGTGTGTTCTGGGCAAAGATTTGAAAAATAGACAGCTCAACAGGAAGGTAGTATGAATGGGTCGGTTTGCGAAAAGAGTGAACATGTCTAGTTTCATATCCAAGAGACCCCTTGGCCTTTACTATATCTTTCAACTTAGATTAGATGTATGACTTTGTATGGCGAGAAACACTGGAGAAAGTCTTTCTTTTGCTGACTCCATGACTTTCAGTTCTCTGCTGGGACAAAGAATGGAGAAAGAGATCAGATGTGATTTCACATTTTTTTTTTTTTGAGACAGGTTTTTCTGTAGCTTTGGAGCCTGTCCTGAAACTTGCTCTGTAGACCAGACTGGCCTCAAACTCACAGAAATTCGCCTGCCTCTGTCTCACAGGTGCTAGGGTTAAAGACATGCGCCGCCACTGCCTGGATATTTTTGTTTTTCAAGACAGAGTTTCTCAGTAGTTATGGAGCCAGACCTGGAACTAACTCTGTAGACCAGTGAAGCTGAGTGCATCCAAGGAGGGAAATCGCAAGTCAAATAATCCCAACATAACTCCAAAAGAGTATTCTAAGATTATTCTTTATTGTAAGGGGAAAACTCACAGAACAGGAATGGGGATCCAGCTTCAAGGTGTGGAACATGGGAACGAGAGAGAGAGAGAGAGAGAGAGAGAGAGCGAGCAAGTTGGGCCACTTTCTCTGGGTACCCAAAAGTCATGCCCCAACCTTGTCCAGTCTCTTAAAGGTCATTGGCTGAAGGAGGTTCCCCATCACCTCCCCAATTTGTCTAAATAAGAGAGTTCCAAACCCAATACAAAAATATATACACTAGGAACAGATATCAATGATAAAGTTAGAATTATAACCAGCATAAACAATATTAAGCAAGGAACATAAGCTAAATGTTTTAATAAACGTTCTATCCTAAGGAGTCTAAGTCTTATATTGGAAATGGCTTGGCTAGGTCTTAAGAGGAAGGTAACTACGACTATCTAATCTTTAACCCCATCGAAGAGCTGAGAAGGGAAATATTACTTGAGTAGGCAGGAAGTGAAATCAAGCAGCTTCTAAGATGTGCAGTATATGACAGAGACAACTGGCTACCTGAGCAATCACCCAAAGTCTCATTTGCAATGTTGAAGCAGCCAACTTTGGCTAAGGCCTAGAGTAACTGACAGACTATTTTCAGAGGTTGGAAAATTTTTAGAACCGTCTTATCCTGTCTTGGCAAGGTTTGGCAGTCTTTTTTCTTGTATCCTGCTTGTCCAGTGTAGACACCATGCACCTTTGTCAGTGGTTGAGGCATGGGAAGTTCCTTGCCCAAAGGTCAGTTATACCCAAAAGAAAACAAACTCCAAGTGGAGTGTCTTTGGTGCTCAACATTCTCTCAGAAATAGATCGGTGCTGCCAGGAGCAATCATGTCTAATGTCAACAGAACCCTAAGTTATTTAAATGCCATGTTCTACAGATCTTTGAAGTGGTTGAAGATTACATATCTATGTAGAATACAATCTCTATGTATCCAAATAACCTAATTACTCTGACTGTAAGTATAACAAACATGAATGATTATTGACCTATAATAATTAATACCTTTATAACAACTCTTTATACTCTTTAACCAGCTATGCAGTAAATGAGGACAATGACCTCAGAATGTAAACAATGTATATGTATCTTGATCAGAGGTAGAAATATATAATGCAATATGATAAATATATCCTAAAAATTGCATCAATATACGAAATGTCTTAAACAGAGGTAGAGAGATGCATGCATACAATCTGACAAAATAGTCTTGCATAGTTGTACAAATATTGTAAACAGAAATTGGAGCATATTCAATATAACAGATAAAATTTGAACTTATACCAATATATAAGAATCTATACCAATGCAAATTGTCCATAAATGATAGCTCACAAGTATTCACTCTATTTCTCACCTTTATTATTATTAGCGTAAGTAAGTTCACACTAATCTACCTATTATGCCATTCAATTTTCCCTCCTCTTTTTTTCAGTGAGATCTCTGGGCCTACATAATTTCCACCCCAACCCCCAAATAATAATCAACCCCTAAATGGTGTCCCTAACTCTGAGGACAAACCCTGTTGGGAGAGGGGAACGTCGTCTTCTAGAATTACTTCCAACTGATATGGGGGAAATGTTCTTTCTATGGGATTCTGTAAAAGTAAAATGATGGTTAAGTTTCAAGATTACTGTCTTTTATAATTGAAAATGGTCTCTGAGGTATTCTGTAGGGTTTTTATAAAGTTCTTTTTTGGAGTTATGGCCAGAACGTTGTAAGAAGGTGCACTATTTCAGAAGCTGGCACCCAAAACCAGTCTTATAGCAGCACTATCAGTATCATGACATCATTATCAACTAGGTGGAATCATTGTTGTGGGGCCCCATCTTATTCCTGGAAAGCTCAAAGATTACTGCAGGAAAAATCTACTGTTCATTGTGGAAAACTTAAACATTATTCATATAGGCATATATTCAATGAAAGATATAATATAGACAAAATAGGAATGGAGGAAAGGAAATTTTTTCCCAAATTCTTTCTTCTTTCTGTCCCATACCAGATGGCTCCTGACATGAGACAGAAACTGAATTTTTCTTTTAACAACATGCTTGGATTTAGAGAAGGATTGCCATTGTCCAACTTCAAAGCCAACTATATATATACAAAATAATTTTTTTCAAATCATCTGTCCTCATAAGCCATATTCCATTTTACTTGGTAATCCTTCGTGAATAGTTAGTTTTTCCTCTTTAGGCATCCAAACGTTCAAGGTCTCTTGACTTTTTGAAGATGTGTACCTTTCTGTGAAGACAAGAATAGAACCCTGGCCTAACCCTTATGAGGTTTCCTTCCCACCTTTATGTGTGTCACCTCTGTGGATGAGCTGTCATTTCTCTCTCTCATGAGGTTTCTCTTTTTTCAAACCGAATCTTTACTAATTTTGATGGTATCCATTGTTTTTCTTCTCTTGTGAAAACAAGAGCGAAACACCTTTCACAATGCAGTACATTTCCATTGTGAGGTCAACACACCTTTGAAATACACTGGCTGATTTAACTCAGAAGACTTTTCTATTATCCAATGTCTCTATGCTGCTGTTGTCCCTTTCTCGTTATCGTTTAGAAAAGTCAAGGTTCGTAAAGCATTATGCAATCTATTTCTGGGGGTATTTTCACTACCTTTCTGTTTGTTTAGCATATCCTTTATTGTTCGATTTGATAGTTCTATAACTGCCTGACCTATAGGATTGTTTGGTATACCTGTAATATGCTTTATATTATAATAAGCAAAAAACTTTCATTTTCTTAGATACATATGCTGGACTATTGTCTGTCTTTATTTGTGGAGGAATATCCATAAAGGCCATAACTTCTAATAAATGTGTGATTACTGAATCGGCCTTTTCTGAGCTCAAGGCTGTTGCCCATTGAAAAGTCACGTGTCAATAGTGTGGTATACATATTTTAATTTTCCAAATTCTGTAAAGTGGAACACATCCATCTGCTAAATTTTATTCCTTTGAGTACCCTTTGGGTTATTCCCTGCAGGTAACTGTATTTGGTTATAGAAAGAGCAAGTAGAACATCTCTTTATAATCTCCTTAGCTTGTTGCC